GGACAGTGTTGAACTGCGCTGTGGACCGGAAGGTTGGCTTTCCCGCATCTGTGGCTTCCTTGCCGATTGTATCGGGAACATCCAAAACTCGAAGCAAGCAAAAGACTCCGCCCTCAAAGCTCTCGCGACTCTCAAGTCCGTCCTTGCATGGTCTATCCCCAAGGCAATTCTCTCTGCCAACTGCGTTCCTTCAATTGCGAGGGCCTTCACCTGTAATGACGAATATGTGTTGCTGGTAAGTCTCCACCCAACCTGTGAAAGTCGTGCGAGGAGCAGCACGTGCTAATATCAACAAAATTAGGCCGCGGTTGAAGCTCTGCATGCCTTGTACAGTCGTTCCAATGTCGACATCGAGGGTTTCCAACCACTTGTCCACGTCATGTACGAAACGGAGTCCTTGAATGTGCTGCAGAAACTTTACGAATGGTCCGTCGTTGGGCCTGACGATGTCGACGATCTACGGTACACCATATGTAAGAAGCTGTCTGAGGTATGGAAGAGAACTACACTTGTTGGGAGGCATATACTAACGTATCATGGATAGGTATTATCGTATGTTGCGGGATTCCTTGAGGAAAAGTCTTTTGCCCTGGAAAGCGTACAGGGTCTTAACCTTCCGTTCTTCTTCCACCTCACCGTCAGCGTTATTCAGAACCAAAGTCTTACTGTTTCGATTCCCGTTCTTCATGTGTGGTCTAAGTTAATCGCATCGGAGAGGATCGGAAATACAGACTTGGTCACTGGCCTTGTGCCTTCCCTGCTGAGTATTTGTACCGAACGATTGATTCGTTGGGAGTCTTTTCCGTCTGATTCAGAAAATGCCACGGTTGTGTTCCTGAACGAGGACATCGACACTATTCCCGAGAGACATGCTTTCGTTGGTAATTACAGGCGCTACTGCTCATCTATCATTGAGAGCATCGTACAGAAGAGACCACAGGAAGCCATTCTTCATATCTTATCCGAAGTTGACTCTAACCTAGACAATCTCTACGCCGGAGTGGAGCCTTTTAGCGGTATGTATGTCTTGTCTGACTTCGAGTTGCTAGCTAAACCCTGCATTAGTCAAGTCGTTTTCGAAGAACTCGATGCCCCTGATGCGTGCCGACACGCAGTTTGCAGTCGTTGAGGCAACGTTGAAGGGATACAATAAATGGGTGTCTGCGCATGGAAGGATGCCCCAGCAGGATGTGCGAAACACGGGTCCAATTGCCTTTCTTCAGCTAACGTCAATGTAGGAACAGAAGCGTAGCGAGCTAGAACAGATGTTGGAGGCGTGGGCTTTCAAGCTGATGCAGCGGCACTTTGAGGTTCGACTGACTTGCCCTCGGATGTTAAGTTTCAATTCACCTAACTCACATCACATTACAGGATCCCATCCTCAAGCAGCGAGTCATCAAGCTTGTTGTCGATATATCATCCAAGGCTCTCGATAAAACCCCCAGCTTTGCACTCAAGGCCCTAGAGTATATCCTCATGACACGTCTACCCGACCAGCCGGAATACCCAGTGTACTCCGAGTCCGTCAAGGAACTTCACGGCTTGACCAGCCATGAACTCCGGAGGTTGGCTATGCGTTATGCTGACTACTTTGCTGTAAGCTAGTTCGGCCATGGCTTTAAGCACTGCTAACTGTTCCGTCACAGACCTTCTATGACATACTCGAGCCTAAAATCAAGGAGATCAGCATGGCTAACCGGGTAGACGATAAGCTTCAAATGGAGCTGACCTCGATCCTGCTCATCATCATGTATGGCTCAATCACATTTACTCAAGCATTCTAGTGCTGACCTTGCAGGCAACGTGCAAACAATGTCGAACCATATCTCCGCCAGTCTCAACTTGTGTCTTTCGTGGAGCCCATCAAAAACGCTTGGCAGGAAGAGGAGTTCCGTAACATGAGCTCAACGTTTGAAGGCTTCTGCGTTATGCTCGGATTGCAGAGTGTCGGCCCATACATGCAAACACGACAGGCGCCGAAGATTGAGGACTGGTCATCGGTGCCTCTGGATAGCGAGGGAAAGCTCATCCAGGAAGAAATGACCAGGAAATTCCAGGTAATAACAACTGCGAATTCTTAACTAAGGGATGCTAACTCCTGGATAGCAATTGCCTTTGAGAGGCACCAAGACCATGCTGGCCGTTTCCTCGGACAAGCTGAAGAAGACAGATCAGGCGTACGAATTGGCCTGCAATATCTGGCATGACATTATTCCAACAATCCTGCCAACGTTACTGCAGCTTGTCAGGTAAGCCTTCTGCCCATCAGCCCTGTATATCCGGCTAACCCACACACAGTAACGCACATGCCTTCCACAATCCGGAGAACTGGGGTGGTTTGCCTCATGACATGCGCGGTGTTGTCGAGCGTATCCTAACCGATAGATTTTGGCAAGCTGGAATTTCCACTGGAAGCCGGGATGAATTCTATGCTAAGATCACGGCCTCGAGGGCCTCGCTTGAGGGATTTGCATCCTCAGTAAGAGGCAAGATTCGAGCAGTTAGAGAATCCTGCTATTCCATGTTGTTCAGCATGAGTAGGCTGCGAGAGCATTTCTATGGGTTCGCAGAACTTCCCGGCCCCCTTGCCCAGGCGCTGTTTAAGGACTCTCCCCACCTTTCCTCTCATCAATTCTCCGTCCTTCTCAACATCTCAAGATGCTTGATTGATGACTGCCCTGTCCGCTTCCGGGCCCAATTCCTGCCTCCAATGCTCTCCACTCTCTTCACAAACATTGACAAGAAAGTGACATCTGAGTGGGACGCCATTGAACGCCAGAAGGAAGGCCTTGGAGAAGGGGATCTAACCGATGAAATGAAATCGGAGAGTATCCTACGGCAGTTGACGTACTCCGCAGTGATCTTTGTGGCCAGCCTCCTGGACCCGCAGAGAGGGGGTAAGTTTCCGGTGACATCCTGATATTGTGATCTTTATAATATTCTAACTCCTTGTCACAGACCCCGACGACGAGCCAGTAGATCCCAGTGTGCCACAGGCGGCACCGGCGCTCTCTGACTCCATCCGGCACTTTGTCCTCTCTTCTCCGGAGATCTTCGAGCCGGTGATGCTCTTCTGCACTCATGCCCTCCGTATGCGCGATACGCGGTGCTGCAGCATCATCACTCGCGTCATTCGCTCCATCCTTCAAGACTTTGCGCCTCCCAATGATACAGCAACAACCGTAACGATCCGCGAGTTCATCTCTTCCGAGGTGCTCAAGGCCTGCATCACATCTGTGCATGAACCTTACTTCGTTGACATGCAAAAAGATCTTGCCCAGCTCATTGCTTCTATCTGGATACTGTATGGATCGTCCAGCCCCACCCCGCGGGCTGTGATGCTCAGTCTTCCAGGCTTGGATGAACAACGGGTTGCCAACGCAGAGGCCGCACTTATCCGTTCTTCGGCAGCGCGACAGCAGCGTGCCTTGATTTTGGATCTTCTGGAAGGCCTGAGGGGTGTGAGTATCGCCGAGCAGGGTAAGATCCTGGGCTCTCGTGAAGAACGCCGGAAGGCCAGGAGTGCGCTACAAGAAAGGTACATGAGTACTGGTGAGATGGAGGGTCAACAGAATCACAAGGTTGATATCAACGATGGCCCGGACCTCGCCGGTGTCGCGGACTTGTTCGGCTAAAAATCTCCCACAGATTTGGTGCGGCGGCCGCTCATACCCAGGTCTTCCCTTGTATAGTATGGTGGCTTTGGTTTCATGCCTACTTTCCGACGTCACAGCCACCTTTTTGCGGTTTTGACTTTTTATTTTCACATATATAAGCACATAGACGCCTAGCCACGCAGCATAGTCTAATGTAGCAGCGATCGATAGACGCCACTTGGCAAAGAAAAACAAAAGAAAGAAATACAAAACACTGAAAACGCATTGCGGAACTGGCCGGTCTCTTTGGTTTGGTATATCTACAACATACAATAGTAGCTCATCTTGACTATCCCGGTGCACCTGTTGATTCTCACGGAACCGCAGCCTACACGCCCATAACTGAATACTCCGAACCCATCATTTACCTGCACATGAACCCCCCGATCAGATCATGCGCAAGGCACACGCCCCCAAAAAGGGACGATCTGGGCAAACAGAAGACAACATAATCGAACGCACATAAATTTTATTATCTTCCAAGCGCTTATTGAGTGACCTTGCTGGGGGTATACGTGAAGGTAGGGCGGACAAAGCTGTTTTCGATAGGAATCTTGATTAGCCTTTCCCAGCCCAATTGACATCCGAATACGGGTGGAGAGAACATACCGGTCCGAGTTGTAGATCTTGGCGTCCGTACCAAGGAGCTCCTTCTCACGAGCCTTGTCGGCGAAGTACCGACGAGCCTGGTCACGGTCCTCCTCGGCCTGGAGAAGAGGCATGATGTGTATACGGCCCCACATCTTCTCACGAGCGAGTTCGCTGTTCATTCCCCTTATGTCAATATCCATTCCTTGTTTGCCGAGATTTCTGGTTTGTAGAGACGTACTATTGTTCACGAACACCGTAGAAGAGCTTGTAGTATCCGTAACCCATGATCAGGTGCATACCGATGAGGTAGTAGATGGGGCGGAAGCCACGGGCAGGGATGTTGCGCTATACATGAGGGCAGGTTCATTAGCAATTGGCTCGTGCCTCCGGACGTAGGGATCGAAATCATAGAAAGTAAGGTAGGGTGTGGTTGCTCGTGAATCGGATCCGATGGAACGTTGTTTCGTGTGGTTAACGCACCTTGTACTGCACGGGCAAGTAGCCCCCCTGCGGGGGCATGTCCTGAGGCATGGTGACTGAGGAGAAAAAGACTGGCGAGACAGAGAGGAGAGGGGTGCCGCAGCCTTTCAATTGAGGGTGGTGCTGGGAGATATGATGCGGTTGCGGATGGGAACTTGGGATGTTGTGTCACGTGAGACATGCATGGTTTGGTAATGGGCGCTGAGGGGGTTTTGATTGGTGGGTGTGCGGGGGGGCATTTTGGGTGATCTTCTTTACTTAGCCGCTGGGTGGGCTTCACTTACGTTCTACCGATTGCTGATTGTCTATTCACCTTCTTTTCTTTGTCTCTGTAAGGGATTGGTTATTGGTATTTTGACGGGGAAGAAAAAGAAGCCATTGCTAATTGAGCATTCTAACTACGCCATGGAGGAAGACAACGATCGGCCTAGAAAGCTTCCAAAGCTTGATCACGACGAGTCTCAGGATTCCGAACCCAGAATGACCGGTGCGCTGCAGGTCACGGATAATGCTTCTACAGCTGCTACGGCTGGCACAGACAATGGCGACAATGAGCAACCTACCATGGCATCCGAGAATGATAATACCCACGGCGCCGCCGACAGCACTACAGCCCCCACCACCGAAGATGGAGCGCCCAAGATCTCCAAGCGCGAGATGAAGCGCCAACGCCGCCGCGAACAATGGGACCAGCAGCGCGACCAGCGGCTCGCAAAGCGCAAAAAAACTGCACAGGCGCGCAAAGAGCGCCGGCGCGCAGCCTTCGAACAAGCGCGGCTGGACGGCACAGAAGCCGAACTCAAGAAGCAATACGAACGGACTCAGGAACGCTTCCGGAAGTCGACGCTGCTTCCGGTTACATTAGTGATTGACTGCGGATACGACGAATTGATGTTGGAGAAGGAGCGAATTTCACTGGGGTCGCAGATCACGCGGTCGTACTCGGACAACAGTCGGTCGGTGTATCGGTCGCACTTGGTGTTTTCGTCGTTCAATAAGAAGCTGAAGGAGCGGTTTGATACCAAGTTGAATAAGCATTATTTGAACTGGAAGGGGGTTAGGATCCTGCCGGATGATTTTGCGCAGGTGGCTGAGAAGGCGAAGGAGTGGATGGTTGTTCCTGACGGAGGTAAGATGGAGGGGATGTTTGCGGATAAAACGGATATGAAGCCTGAGGATGGGGAGGTGGTTTATCTGAGCAGTGATAGTCCCAACACGTTGACGGAGCTGAAGCCGTTCAGTACGTATATTATTGGGGGACTGGTGGATAAGAATCGGCACAAGGCGATTTGCTATAAGCAGGCTGTGGAGAAAGGAATCAAGACGGCCAAGTTGCCTATTGGGGACTATATACAGATGGCGTCCAGACAGGTGCTGGCTACGAATCATGTCGTGGAGATTATGCTCAAGTGGTTGGAGCTGGGAGATTGGGGCAAGGCGTTCCTTGCTGTTATTCCGCAGCGGAAGGGTGGTACGTTGAAGGAGTCGGGGGCTGAGGCCGAAGGGTCTCAGCAGGAGGAGAATAATGCAGAGGAGGAAGAGGAGGAGGCGTTGGAGAAGGCTCAGGAGGTTACTGATGAGGCTGTTGAAGAAGCCCAGCAGGCTGCAGAGGAGCCTGATCAAGCTATGGCGGAGGCACCTGTGGAGGGCAAGTGAGGGGCCTGGTGCCGATTATAGTGTATATATGCAGCCGTGTAAGCTGTCATGCGCTGTCTACTAGAGAAGTGGCTGGCCAATCTACATGTCTTCCAATGACTAGCAAGGAAGTGATGCTTCATAGTTACCTAGTTTGTAGAGCTAACTAACTACTCCGTAGATGGAAGTGATGTACGAAGTCAGTGCTGACATAATATGCACCGCCACACGTACAACGCCACATGGTTGCCACCGGGCGATGGATGACGGCAACCAAAACAACAACAACATCGCCGTTCCATCTTTTTTTCGTTTCCTCCTTCCAGAAGCTCCACAGAGACTCGCTTGCTCTTTGCTCTGCTTGCTGTCTGGGCCCTGGCTCTCTTCACTCTGCCCCGGACCAAGTCTCATCCTCCCCTATATACTTTCCGTCCCCCTCTCTTGTCTGGTGACCTGCCTCAATCCCTGCCCTAGCAACCCACTTTATTCCAAAGTTCAATAAACAAGGTTGCTGTTGCTGAGCAGCAAAGCTCCTCCAGCCATGTTTGTGCTCCGCAACGGTAAGTCCCTTCCCTTCCCGGATGTCTTTTCCTCAAGGACAGCTTTGCGTTCACTTTGGCTTTGCTACCCCGCCATCTGCCCCTCCTCCCCTCATCCTCCTTCCCTGCTTCCTCCCCTCCCGCCTTCATCACTTACCGGTTCCCTCTCATACTGACGTATCCTCTCGGGACCTATCCAGTGAGCAAGTACCTCTTTGGAGACTCTTCCAAGGAATCTATCATCGAGATCCCTCAGGGACAACTTTATCTCGTCCGCCCTCTGTCGCCCAAGGGCTACTCGGAACTCATCTTCAAGGACGCCGCCGCCTCCATCAGGCGCACCGGCCAGGAATTCCAGTATCAGCTCGTCATTCAGCGCGCCTACGAGGAAGGCGAAGAGGAGCTTGGAGAAGAGGACGACGAGCAAGGCGGCAGTGACAGCCTCGATAAGGACGAAAAGGTCTTCCTGCTCGATCAGGCTCTGCACTTTCGCTCCGAGGTGCGCGAAGGAGGACAAAAGATCTTGGCCTGGAGAGACCTGAGTGGCGACATTGGTGACCTTTTTGAATTTGTTTGCGACCCCTCCGTACCTTCGGATAAGGTTTCCACCTTCGAGCTAGCCGCTCTTCAGTGCCAGTACGAGCGCGCATACCGCCGCAGCTCCCAGAACGTGAGCCGCGAAGATCTGCAGGAGTTCTCATTCCAGGAGGAGAAGCCTATTCCGTCTGCAAGCCCTATCTCTTCTTCAGCACGGTCTCCTGCTCGGTCGCCGACATCTGGAGAGTCGACCGCCGCCATGGTGAAGGACGTCGAATACTCGCGGTCCAAGGGACAAATTAAACCTGCAGCCTCAGAGGAAGCCACCGTTGCTCCCCCTTCTGCAGCGCAGCCTGAGGCTAGGGAGGTCCTTGCCAAGGAGAAGGCCGAGCTGCACCTGTTCGACTTCGTGAGCGGAACGTTCGTTCTGCAGGCGGCCAACGTAACTGCGACTGTTTCTGAGATTGGTGACTGGAAGTATTGGCTTCAGATTAGCGGAGAAGACAAGGAGTGGCTGGGACAGGCTGTCGTTGCTGACATCAACCCCGTTTTCAACTTCGAGTATCTGTCGTTCATCTTTAATGCCTACAGTGAAGATGGCTCGGCGTTCTCTTGGCTCTTGCGCTTCAAGGACCAGGAGACTGAGGAGAGGTTCCAGGAGGGTCTCATGCAGGCTCTGTGGGAACAGCTGAACGAGATGAAGTGGACAAAGGTCAAGGAGCAAGAACGGGAGTATGTGCTGGACGCCTTCCAGGATCTCACCATGGAAGATGCAGAGGAACGCGAAGCCGAGGCCGAAGAGGAAGAAGAAGAAGAGGACGAGGAGGAAGACCACTACGACGGTCAACGCAGCGAACACTACGACTCTGACGAGGAGCAAGATGATGTTGTTACGCGGGATGATGATGGAAACGTCAACTCCCAGCTTGCCGTCGGTTACAAGCATGACCGCTCCTTCGTTGTCCGTGGCTCCAAGATTGGCGTCTTCAAGCACACTCCCGACAACAACTTGGAGTTCTCTACCAACATCTCCAAGGTTGAGACCCCCAGGGGCAAGCTCTTCAGCCCCAAGAAGGTCATGTTGCACGCCGAGGACACCAACATGATCCTTCAGAACGGTGACGACCCGAACTCGCTTTACCGGATGGACTTGGAGTATGGTAAGATTGTGGATGAGTGGAAGGTCCACGATGACATTCCAGTTACTACATTTGCTCCTGAGAGTGTGAGTATCCTATTTACTTGTCTATTGCGTGAGATAATTGCTAACTTAGCTAGAAATTCTCCCAAATGACCTCTGCACAGCCCTTCATTGGTGCTTCTAAGAACGCCCTCTACCGCATCGACCCCCGTGTCGACGGAAACAAGTTGGTGGACACAGACCTGAAGCAGTATGCCAGCAAGAACGAGTTTTCTTCGGTGGCTACCACTGAGAAGGGTTACATCGCCGTCGCCTCCAACAAGGGTGATATCCGGATGTTTGACCGTCTTGGAATCAACGCTAAGACACATATTCCTGCTCTGGGAGAACCGATCATCGGACTGGATGTGTCTGCGGACGGCCGCTGGGTTCTTGCAACCTGCCGGACATACCTCCTCCTTATCGACTCGCTACAGAAGGAGGGCAAGAACGAAGGCAAGCTAGGCTTTGAGCGCTCATTCGCCAAGGACTCCAAGCCTCAGCCTCGCCGTCTGGGTCTGCAGCCTGCCCATGTGGCCCAGTTCCAGCACGAGACGAAGAAGCCTATCAGCTTCACCCAGGCACGATTCAACACGGGTGTCGACAGTCAAGAGACTTCGATTGTTACGGCCACTGGTCCCTTCATCATCACCTGGAGCTTGAAGAAGGTCGTTGCCGGACGCAAGGACCCCTACACCATCAAGCGGTACGGCGAGGACGTGATGGCAGACAACTTCCGCTTTGGTTCGGACAAGAACGTCATTGTGGCCTTGCCTAACGAAGTCAACATGGTTGCCAAGAGGAGTTTGATGAAGCCCACTCGCGAGAGTATCGCCGGACCTCCCGTCACACCCCGTCGCAGGACCCAATGGGGCAGCCGGTTAGGAAGGGACGAGATTGTCAACTCGCCTTACTGATAGGTTGGCCTTTTTTGTGTTGAGTTTCTGCGCCGCTGCATACCCATCTTATGTTTTCGGTTCGTCATATTTTTTTATTTTCTTCTTGCACTCTGGTATTCTCCGAAACGCTTTAATGTCCTTACACGGTGATATGAACGGCTGGCGAACGGTTGCACTGCGGAATTAAGCATTGATGTTTGTACTCTTACTAGTAGCTGATAATACATCTACGAATCACGACTGACGTTGCACGATGGTTAATGGATGACATTCTGGGCCGGCTGGCCACGTAGTATATAGTTGCGCTCGTCGTCGATGGGTATCCCGTACCCAAAGCGGTGCTGCCTCAAACCTCCTCGTCGCTAGCTCAACGTAGGCATTTCAAGCCAGCAATTGCACATCCAGTCCCAAAGCACCGCCAACCAACCAATTCATGATTATCGACCATTCTGCCAGCAGATGATAGTCACGCACGCATCACGCTCCATTCCATTACGGTGCCAGGTTGGCACATATCTCAAGACCCGACATACCACACCTCCACACCAATGATATCGAACTTGACGCCCTCGTCCGAGAGCGGCTCATTGCCAAAAGTCTGGCACGACGCACTGACGCCTTTTTCGAGACTCGAGTCGACCCATAGGCCGTAGTGTCCATCACTGCTTCTATTAGCTCATTGCAAAAGAAAAGACCGAAGAATAGAGGAGGAAAACATACCCTCCACCCAAACTCAAAAACCCCGTTTCGCAAAACATCATATAATCATTAACCCCACTATACGGAAACGCCTTGAAGCGAATCTGCTCCGGCGTGACCGTCCCACTCGTCCTCCCACTCCCAGCACCATTTCCAGAGGTCGGAGAAAGCCACTTCTCGCCCTCCCCACGGCGTAGAGTCGTCGAACGCCCCGCGTTCGTTGTATCCGCGCTCGGAGGCAACGGTAACCCGGCCTTCTCCAGCACATCAGCCTCTACCCCTTCCTCACCACCATTGTCCCCATTCGCGTTACTGAAATTGCTGAGCATAGCGGTGGCAGGCGGCAACACGCTCGCCCTCCAGAGGAAACACTCCCCGGTACCATAGTAATGCGAGTCCGGGTGCGGAGGATCAGTCATGTAGGCGCCGAAGACGGCGTTCGAGGATGGCGAGGCGTCGCGGATGACGAGGACGTAGCCGGCGCGGGGGCTGCGGGTGGATGCGATATCGCGGCAGTTGTCGTATAGGGTGGAGAGGGAGGCGCCGTCGCGGTCCAGACTGTAGGCTAGGTGCCAGGTGTTGCAGAGCTGGAGGCGCGGGGGCACCAGGAGGCGGATTTCTTCGGCGAGGGAGCGTGTGAGCAGGGTGGAGGGGTCGGAGAGGGTGAGGGGGGTAAGAGGAGGGGGTTGGAAGGGGGATGCGGTGCGGACGGGGGTGAAAACTGGGTTGTTGTTGGTGGTGGTGTCGGTGGTGGTGGTTTTGCGACGCATGTTGTTGGTGGTGTTGGTGGAGGGGTCGGTGAGGCGGCGATAAAGGCCGGAGACGACGTGGGTGACTGGGTAGGAGAAGTAGGAGGCGGCGGATTGTTGGAGAGAGGAGGGGGTGGTTGCGGTGGTGCTGGTGCTGGTGCTGGTTGTGGGGGGAGGTCGAGATCCAGATCTCGAGCTTGACGAGGACGACATGCGGGCAATGACGTGGGTGTTAAGGGATTAAAGGAGGGAGAGGGGGAGATTAATAATGGGGAAAGGGGGAGATCATGCAATTGAGATGGACGGAGGAGGGGGTAGAATGGGATAGGGGAGGAGAGGATGAGGTGGTGGAGAGGAAGATAAGACGATGGGGAGATGCAAGAAGGAGGAGGAGATTGATTGATTAATTAATGTTCGTCACGCTTTGCGGATCGGCGGGTGAGCTTCTATACGGAGGATTCCTGGCTACTTTCAGTAATCAGTCGTGCTGGTGCACGTCACGGCGCATGCCAATTATCGTACAATTTTTGAGACAGAACATATTGTGAATTGGACTACGGAGATACTACTATCTGATGACGTTAATTACTAGTTTACTGTATCCCTACTTCTGCCACACCTGCTCGACAAACGCCGTTAGATCGGCCTTGAGCTCGCGTGGACGCTCCAATGCGGCAAAGTGTCCTCCCTGTCGATCAACGTCAGATTTTCAACACACGAACTCATAGCGGTATTATCTTACCTCTGTATGATCCTGGAAGAAGACTAGATCTCCTGTGGTAGCAATCCAGCTTCGAGGCACGGGGCAAAGGTCCTTAGGGAAGAACGAGAACCCGAATGGTTTGTGAATATATAATTCGTTCTGCAGCATCGTCGCTCCGTTGGGCACAGAGGCGGTGGGGGTAGTCTTCATTATTAGCCAAACATATACTACTAGTATGACGATCGAGATTGCATTCTTCAAACATACCTCACGGTAGGAATAAATAGCCCGTGGAAAACTCTCAGTGAGCCAATACAGGCTTACCATCTCAAGAATTGTCGTAGAAGGGAGGGGCTCATCCACCCATTGGAGGTATTTCTCACCAACCCTGGATTCAATCAGTCAGGTACTCTAACATAAATTTGTCGAAAAGAAGCAAACCCACCATGCGAGTAAAGCGATCGGACTGCTGGACAGCACATGGCCGATCGTACTGGGCCGAGTACTGTGCTCCAGGGCATAAGCTAGGCCATTGGTCATGAATTTCTCCATTCGCGCGAGTCCTTCTTTCTCCGCCGCAGTCAAGCTCTCCGTTGACAGGCCTTCAGGGGGAGCTCTCATTGCGCATAAGTTCACTATACTGTTAGTGTCTTACAAATGTATATGAGGGCTTATCACTTACAATGAACCGCTGGTGGAAGTTAGCAATGACTGCATCTTCGATGACGAGGTACACTAACCTTTGCAGGCGTCGAAGCTTACGCCCAGAACCCGCCCTACAAAACTACCAATATCACCTCCCTGGATAACATAGCCACTGCCGAACCCGAGGTCCTTCATCAACTGGTCTACGACCCGGGCGATGTCAACCAAGCCGAAATCCCTGTCCAGTGGGGGACCAGACGAGAAGGTGTACCCAGGAAGGGATGGAACAATTAGATGGAAAGGTAAGGTTTCAGGAGAGTACTCCTCGCTGAATAGCTGGAGGATTGGGTAGAATTCAACGAAGTTGCCTGTGTAACTTATTAGGGCAGGCTGACATGTATGCTTGCTTGGACAGAGTATATACTTACCGGGCCAACCATGGAGCAATGCGATGGGCACAGCATCCTCCCTCTGAGAAAATAAGGCAGCAAAGTGCACTGTGAGACCCTCAATCTCCGTAGTAAACTGGGGGAAAGAGTTCATTCGAGCTTCAAATGTTCGCCTGGATTGATCAGTGAGCATTGTACATCGATGGACTAGATAGGCAATCGAACCAGTCAAATTCCGAGACCCATTTCTCCCGCATGGATGACAGCCATTCGGAAGTGACGCCAAACCGGCCATCTGATTGCAGGTTCTCATAGGTGGGAGGGGCGATTTTGGATAGTCGGATGAGGGTTTTCAGGTCATTCAGCTGCTCATCGGGGATGGAGACAGTGAAGGGAGTAGGAGAAATGCTGGCCGAGGAGGGAAGCTTGGCGAACGGAGCAGACATGATGAATTAATGCTAAAGAAAGTGAGGATACAGAGGAGATAGGAATCGAAAGAGAGGAGTAGTGAGAAATGAGGGGTTGCCCAGCAGAAGTATTCAAAGTGATTGATGCATGCTGGGCGGGGTCACGGCTGGTCCGAGGCTCACTCTCAATGCTAATGATTTCTCCTCCATTCAGCATCACGCAGATACGACAGTGTAAAGATTGGACAGAGCTACCGTGCTTATAAATCTTTCACTAAACCCCCTTGGCCTTTCATTTCGCATCTTCTGTCAATATTCACGTCAGCAGATACCAGCTCTTTTCCCAATGCGGATGGGTGCAGTTATTACCCGTCTAGAACATTAGTTAGTACTCCCGCCATCTATATATTCGAGAGTATGTTTACTCACGAACAATCTGGAACTTAAAAAGCGCCTAGAAGTATCTGGGGACCCAGATAATTCAAATGAGGCCAGGAAATAACTAACACTGAACACGCCCACCATCAGTCTGCGGAGCTGGTGAGGAATTGCGGCTGATTGGATTACCATCGGGGCTATCAGTAAGCTCAGCTCTAGTATGAAAGTTAAACTTGGGTTGCGCCTTTGTCACTGGCTTACCTCAATTAATTAGAGATAATCATCTGAGTTTATAGTTTCACATGCCTCCGGGACTTTATGCAACAAGCCTGGACAGTATAAATTTAACTATCAAGGCACCTCTGTACGCCTCCGCATGGCACCGAATATGGCAGCTGAGAAAATAAGGACAATAATAGAAACCCTTTATGAGAAAACAAAGACTACGTCTTTTCGGCCCCCTCTACATATAATCCTTCGTCCTCGCCTCACAAAACTCCCAAAACTCACACGCCCTCCCCGTCCCACCCTCCTCTTTCCTCTTCATCGCATCCAACAACGTCGGCGCCACAGCATCATGAAGTCTCCCCCAAGGAACAACATATGCACCATTATTTTCCAACCCCAGTTCCCCCGACAACCCCGCATACAGCACCGTATGAGCCGCCAAAGCCGGACTATGCAGCAGCGGCCAAGAGAGAAGCTTCATCCAGCGCGCATTCCTCAGAAGGTTCGTATTAGCTGCGCCTGGATTCTGCGCCACGCTGACGATGCCCTTCTCGCCGTACCGCCGGGCCATTTCCGTAGACAGGAACCAGTTTCCAAGCTTGGAGGTGACATAGTTTCGCACAGCGTCCTTCGGTGGGTTGGTCAGCTCCGACATGATGATGCCTTCGGGTGGAGCGGAGAGTTCGGCGACCTGACTGCTTGTCCAGATGACGCGAACGGAGCCCGCAGTGGTAAGTTCAGACTCAGACGATGCCGCAGCTTCGAGCAAGGGAGTTAAGAGTTGGGTGAGGAGAAATGGGCCCAGACAGTTGGTTGCGAGTTGGAGCTCGATGCCTTGTTGGGAGACGCTGCCTAGTGGGGGTTGGGACACGCCGGCATTGTTGAAGAGGAGATCGAGCTTCAATTCTATGGCGCTGAAGGTAGATACGGTGGATTTGATAGTTGTAAGGTCGTCTAGATGAAGTTCGAGAAAATGTAGCTCGCCTGTGCTGGACTTGGCATTCTCCGGGACGGATTTCTGGATAGCCAGGATGGCTGCTTGAGCGGCGGACTCTGAACGTCCTGCTATGTAGACTTTGGCGCCTTTGCGGTAGAGGACCTTCGCTACTTCGAAGCCAATGCCTGATGCGCCGCCGGTGATGAGCACCACTTTGCCCGATTGCTGGGGGAGGTCATCGGGGGTGAAGGTTGGGCGGGGAGGGAAGAATTGAGAGAATTGGGCTCCCATTGTGGAGGCTGTTACTAGTACTAGGTGTGGTAGGCATTGAGAAGAGATGGTAATTCAGTCACATATTTATATGCTGATTGTTGTTGGGTGAGACCCCTGCAGGGTATCCTTAGTCTCGTTCATCGTTATACATGTTTAGACGAGCGGACCAACCGGCGCTACTATAGAACAGACCGGCTCGGTTGTTAGCGTTGACACCCAGCTAGCTCAGCCTGCTGGGAACTTCCCTTTGTTTGTCTTGTTCGCTAGGTCCCATGCTGACCACATTTTGTCGCACAGATAATGAGAAAGAGAAGATAGACAGGGTGACTGACACTCCTCTTTCCCTGAAAAATCATCCCTCAAAAAATGAGAATCGCTAGGTCCATTAATGCTGTGGGCTGCCACTGTGCTGGCGAAGTATGCGACGTGATTGTCGGAGATGTTTTGAACCCGTCAGGATGCAGCACCATGTATGAATAACTAGTTCACTTTCGCGACAAAGACCAGATCCGCCAGCTCCTCATGCAAGAGCCTCGGGGACGGCCGGTAATGTGTGTGAATTTCGTCTTGCCCCTTGCAATCCAAAGGCCGATTGCCGGGCTTTTGATCATGGTGACCGAGGAATACCCTGCCATGTCTGGAGGCAATGCCATTGCAACTACGACTGTCCTTCTGGAGACAGGCATGGTGGCCATGACTGAACCGATCACCAAGATAGTCCTGGAAACTCCAGCAGGTTTAGTGCCTATCACTGCGGACTGCGAGGGTGGGAAGTGCGAGGAGGTCGCGTTTAACACTGTCTCTTCCTTCGTTTTCGCCCTAGATTACAAGATCGATGTCCCTACACTGGGATTCGTCTCGGTGGATATTGCATGGGGAGGGATGATCAACGGCTTTGTCGATGCAACCTCACTCGGAATCAGTATCAACAACAAAAACGGGCCGAAGTTGATCGAATACGGAGAGGGAATCACAGATGCTCTCCAAAAAGCTCCGTTCGTGCCCGTCCATCCGGAGAACCCAGGCATCAGAGGCGTTAGTATCCTCCAGTTCACAGAACCACTTTATTGGGATACTATGATGGCTGTCAATACTGTTGTGGTTTCTCCCGGGCGGTTCGATCGGTGCCCGTGTGGCACAGGAAGCTGTGCAAGGATGGCAGTGCTCCATGCTCGTGGCCAGCTCGCAGTTGACGAAGAGATTCCAGCATCATAGCATCATTGGGAGTACTTTTGACTGTTACATCCGCGGGACGCAGAAACCTGGAGACTATGACGCTATCTTGCCGACGGTCAAAGGAAGTGCTTGGATCAATTGTTTCAAGTAGATGGCGTTGGATCCTACTGATCCCTGGCCAGTGGGCTTCCGAGTTGGCGACCAATGGCATATAGCAGCGTCACAAATTATGTAGTATTAAAACGGAAAATGGAGCTGAGCATCGAAAACGAACAACATTGATGATGAGTTTATGTTCATAGACACCACTCTGACTAAGCATAGCGGGATGTGTTCCCGAAGCAGCATAAAACCCAAAACGGCAATGCAATTCAAATCCACTTGAATAGGATATAAAATATTGATATGGTATCATCCGTGACAACCATGGCTCAACACCCCTCCTCAGATACTACCATCTTCCTAGATCAGCCTCCAAGCTGTCTTCAATTCCACCCATCCTCCCCCAACCACTTCCTCGTAGGCACCTACCTGCTCTCAGAACACAAGGAAGATGACTCTGCACCAATCCAACAAACCAAAACTGGCAGTCTCCAACTATGGCACTTAGACCCTGCCACCAATCAACTGTACCCTCACCCCTAACACTAACCAAACATATAAAAAAGTGTCTGAAGCTGACAATGACGCAGAACCCTCCGCCACAAACACCCTCTCCCATATGCAGTCTTCGACCTGCATTTCCACCCCACTGACCCAACGCTAGCTGCCATTGCAACCAGCGCAGCTTCAGTGGTTTTCTTCCGTATTACTGTCCCAGAGGGAGAGGAAAATGACAGGACCCCTTTCATCAAAGAGATCCAATCTCACCAAGTCCATGAGGACCCCTCCATCCCAGCCCTCTATCTAGCCTGGTTACCGGCTGGATGGCATTCCACCACCACTTCCAATGCTGGAACTGAATATGGCTTCGCCGTAACCTTCTCTGACGGCCTGACCACCCTCTTCAACACCAAAGTCTCTCCATCTCCCAATTCCTTCTCTATAACAGAAGAATCATCCTACCCCGCAACCCAGCAAATAGAAGTCTGGTATGTAGCAGCAGCTACCTATCCCCAACCCCACTCCAATGGGGATAATATGCGCTACATCTTCACAGGCAGCGACTTCGGCTCGCTGCATACTCGCTATCTTCCAGCCCCCTCCAACACCAACAACTCCGACGAAGACAACGATGAAGCTAACATGCCCATTCTTTCCCACGACGACCGCGCCCGCCACCACACAGCAGGCGTGACGGCCATTCTGCCCCTCCCTGTGCCTATGACCGATGGGGCGCCGTGGCTTCTCACGGGGAGTTACGATGAGTCGTTGCGGGTGTACCATGCTTCCCGAAGGGGTGAGGTACTTGGGGAGATTGGGTTGGGGGGTGGGGTTTGGAGGTTGCAGATTCTTTCTACTCATTCTCGTCCCGTGGATGATTCGGAGGGGGATGTGGAGTGGACGTTCCTGGTGTTGGCGAGTTGTATGCATGCTGGTACGAGGGTGGTTAAGGTACGGGTTGTTCTTGGGGAGAGTGGGCAGGAGTGTGAAATGGAGGTGGTGGCGGAGTTTACGGAGCATGAGAGTATGAATTATGCGAGTGATGTGTGGAATTGGGGAGGGCATAAGGGAGGGGAAGGAAGGGAGTTGAAGGTTGTGTCGAGTAGTTTCTACGATCGGAGAGTTTGTGTGTGGCGGGTTAATGTTTGAGCAATCTACACAAGTTTCGGAAATAAGGAGATAATAATGGTTTATGTTATGTTCGTAAAACGCTCGAGAGGTCATATGCAGAAGTGAACATCAACAACAGGTATACCAACGAAACACGCCCCGTCCCGAAACGAAACCCGAGAATGAAATGATTATAGATGAATCAAACGATCGTCTCCAGCTCGCGCGCATAGCCAATCGCATTCTCGATAATTGTACCGCTGGCCACGAGGATATCCTTCTCGGACCGAGCAGCCGCCTCGGGCTCGACGGGGAAATAGATGCGGCCATCACGGAGAACCCAGCCGCGCTGCTGGGCGAACTCGATCACGGCGCCCTCCGAATCGAGGAAGAGGAGGTTTTTGGCGTTGGAGATGGGGAGCGAGGGGTACGCCTTTTCGGAGCAGTCTGCGATTTCGCTGCGGATGGTTCCGACCAGGACCTGCATCATCATAACATTAGCTACCCGCCACCTCGAGACAGTACCAGGCAGGGTATACTCACATTCGAGAACAGCGCAAAGTCCTCCGACGGCACACGCTCTGAGTTCGTCTCCCGCCACACCTTATCGTAGCTTCCCTCCATCAGGTTCCTCTCCAGCTCAACGGGGTACTTGATGAACGGATCATCCTCAACGCTCTTGCCCTTCAGACTTGCCTCCTCGACCAGACCCTCCAACACCGTGTGGAAGCTCGTGCTGTCGCCCATGCTCAGGAGCAGCAGCAAATACAAGCCTGTGATCTTGCTGCGCTGGCTACTGCGGATGTCGACGTGGCCGGCATTCGTGCTGTCCCGCTCCAGGTCGTAGAACGGCTGCAGCTGCTGGTAGTATCTTGTGAAGGTGGGTGCGTCGGTCTGTCGGATGGAGGCGATGGCTCCGAGCTCAAGAACCTCACGGGCCTGGGCGACCAGCTCGGCGGGTGCTGACGGCGTGGGAATCAGGACATTCTGCAGGAGGAGGGCGCGCTTGCCGCGACTGAGGAGGTCGTTGACGGCTTCGAATTGTTGCCGGCCGAGGGCGCTGTGGAGCTCGGCCACGATGGCCTTGAGGTCGTTGGCCATTTTGGATTAGATGGAAATTATCGGCTGTCTAAAAGTATATGTATGAGGACTTAAGGACGGAGAAATAAGGAGGATAGTGTAGTTGAATTGGTGTGATGATTATGTGGTTTGGAGATGGAAGTGCTGGTCGTGACGTTGGCAGCCGCAGCTTCCAAGAGCTTCGGAGAAATCCGTCACGTGATGTCATCTTATGCAAAACTCCGGAATCGAGCTTATCTTGTTTACACCGGTCGATCTTTTCCTGTTCTAAACGCCCGCGGCCATTGGGTTCTTGCAAGTAATTATTCATTTTCATAATCCATTAGATATTGTCGCGTAAAAGGAACCCGCCATTCTGCAGCTTCTGAAAGACGCCCTCCGGGTCGTACTTGGCCGCCACCTCCTGCATCAGCTTGATATTCTCGGCTCCATAGCTGCCAAGAACCTTCTGAGAGCCAGTGTCAAAGGTCATGTACTTGAAGTCCAAGAGGGTACCTTTAGTCTTAGCTAGAGACTGCACTGTTTTGGATATGGTATCTACGGCCTTTTGCGCCGCGGCATCGTCACTACCGTCTTTGGGCCACTCATAGGCGAAACCTACCCTATTGATTGCGGGATATCCGTTAGTCCTGTGCCTGATCTTAGGAACAATGGGGAATTGAAGAAAGCTTGCAGCACTCTGGGACACTTTGAATGCTCATGATATTCCCTCCTTGATCTTTACCAGCCTGAATATCAGCCGTACCAATTGGATGAATAGTGTAATGCAGGGCAGCACCAGTCGGGAGGGTCTTGCAGACTTCGAGCCACGTCTTATACACTTGCTCATAAAGCTCCCTCCTGAAAAGCCTGGGTAGTAGCCGTGCAAATGGAACACTTATGACCCCGCACCAGGTAAGTTTTGCAATGGACTAGTGATTGTCGCCTCCGTAGGATATGTACTCACTTCTGGGACGCTTGGGCAAATGACAGCAGCGTGCCGTTAGTGGATGGCAGCACCGTAGTCACCAGGCTTCTGAGGTTGTGAAACGGCTCAAAGGCCTTCGGTGGCTCGGCTGGGTGGTCCCGTAGAACATGACCACCGCGACAAATCCGTTGTTGAAGTTGGCAAACAGCGCAATCTTGGGATCCTCTTCCATGGCCTGGTGAACTGCCGCAGTGGTCTGGTTGGTGGCTACATGGTTCTCCGGATTACATACATTGATGTTTTATTGGATCTTGATCAGCAGGTGAGGTTCAAGGTCGAACAGTGTGACAATGCCTGTTTGGCATGTTAACAATTGATGGTATCCATGTGAGGAAAGGTGCTATACATACCGAAGTCGGAGCCGGAGCTCTCAAGGGCGCAATGAAGGTCGGAACTCCCCTTCGAGTTGGCGTTGATGAGGCTGCCATCGTCTATTAGGACCTGAGAAATAACTTGCTGTCAATTTCCTGTCCTTGAGAAAGAGAAAGACGGTAAGAAGCTTGCCTCAAAATTCTTCTTGCCATCACCACCAAGTCCGTGGAGATTAGGCAAAGCCCCCATTCCCGCTTTGTGTAATAGTCAGCCAAGTATTGCCATCCCCTTCAGAAGCAAGCCTGTTCTGCTCCATCAGTCCCATTGAAGCACCCTGCAAAGCATTAAGGATGCAGCGTGCAGCCAGAAAGATACATACCTCCGAAAGAAATCCACCTAGTCTCCACCTGAGGCTCTCTACTCCCAATAGCCGACAACCCCTGCTCCTCTAGCCAGGTATATATTTTGTTTCGGGTATTTCCTGACCTAGGTTGTGCTTTCTGATCGGCCAATAGTTCCTTGGACTTGAGCTGTTAAATGTTTAGTACTATGGCAGTATCACTAGTACTACTGAACCGTATGTTTGAATTGTAGCCGGTGGTGCGGACGGCGAACTTAGTGCCTGTTCTTCGGATAATAGCTAAAGCCTTGGTCAGTTCCTGGACAGAGTTTAACTAGATGTACCCAGCTGCAGGGGTCCAGCAAGTGTGCGACCAGGGGGGGTAACGGCAGCTTGGTACCTGTCGGCAAATTCATTCTTGTTGTTGTTGTTGTTGTTCTTGTTGATGGGTGTTACTATACTGCCAGTGGTACCAGAAAAGAGAGACCGCAGCTGGTCCAAGGCAGCAACCGCCATGATGGAGGAAGAGAGTCTCACTGTTTTCCTGAGATTGTTGATGCTGATCATCACTATTGGGGCAGTTAGTTTCCGCAGGTTGTTTACCTCTCGCCATTGCTTAGAAAGCCAAGTCCCTCTAGCTGAGCAGCAGCCCCACGCAAAGTGCCAGCTGAGGCGAGGTGGGGAGGGTTTGCTTTACAAGTAGCGATGATAGATACGCCACACCCTAGCACTACTTTGTAGAAGCTAACTCGTCGTTGTAAGCAGAAAAGTCCAAGAAAGCGAGAGAAAGGGTACTCTATGGCCTACAGAACAGGTCGAACTTCTGCTGAAGCTGAACAGGAGCAGTTTCTTGCGGCTAGAAGATCATCATCGTGTCTATGTCCGACTCCTGAGGCAGGTCCAGCTTGATTCTAACGCCGCGTTTCCATCCGCCCACCACGATGCCATTCAGTCTGAAGCTGTAGCCATTGCTCATTCTTATTGTCTGCTGGCTCTTCGGGGAAGGACAACGCTTTCATCCTGCGATGGCGTCGTCCCGCCTACAAAATCACTTAAGGGCAGCTGAATAGTCATCGACCTGGACCTCCACATATGTATCTGAGATACCAAGTTAACCACCATGCTTGAGTCGAGACTAGTACTAGTCGTGTTGGTATTGAGCTGAGCAGTCAATCAACGCTAGTTCACTGATCATCCCGCTCTTTCCCTTTTCAGCACCCACTTATGCGTCCATATGACAGAGCTGAGAGGCTAGATAGTAGATCTCTCAGATTCTGGGATTGCGAGCTAAGCAATCTCTTTTCTTTTTGCTTGAGGGGCCAATGAGATGCACTGGGAGCCGCAGCCTCCATTTTCTGTGGCGCATGTCCCTCTTCAGCTAGCCTTCCTGTGAAATCTCGACATCAGGTCTGAATTCCGGCAGTTGTAACTGGGGTTTCCTGCTATTAAGTGTTGCGACCCAATCCTCCAAATAGAGGGTGACAGTGAAGAAAATAATAAAGAAATCCCAAGTCACATTCTCAAAGTTACCTAATGGATCCTATATCTGCCTTGAGCGTGGCATGCGCTGTTTTTCAGTTTGCCGACCTCGGCGCCAAAATTCTGACGAAAGGGCGTGAGCTCTACCAGTCTCACTCAGGGGCTTTAGAAAGGCACGCTGAGCTCGAGAAATGCGCTGAGCAGTTGAGCGCCTTGGTCAATGAATATTCCAAGGGGGCAAATGCGCTTCCTGAAGCCCTGGGGAAAGGTATGGAGGATATCATCGATGAGTGCAATTTGACTGCTGGGTTATTGTCAAGTCTATTGAATGGCTTGAAAATTCCAGAGAAGTCTAAGGGTATTTTGAGGGTATTTAGAGCCGGGCGACAGGCGGTCCGAACGGCGGTCCGACAATCGCAAATCGATGAACTTAATGACAAGATGATGGATCTACGGGAGAAGTTACAAGCCTATATGTTGGCAGTACTACAGTAAGATTTACCCCCCCCTACGAGCTTATATATTGTATCTGGGCTGATGGGCCTTGTAAGAAATCAATCATCTTCGACACAAGAGACGCTCAAGAAGCTTTCGTCAGATAGCGCGCAAAGGGAAAACAATATTGCATCCCAGCTGAACGACATGAGAAGGGAGATGCTCAGTATTCTCCAAAAGCCAGATAGCTCGCTCTTTCTTGCCTCAGATCTTGAGAAGCTTGTCCCAGTCCTTTCCAACCTAGTGGACGAAAGCCGAGCAGTGACTTGCAAAACTGAGATCCTGTCGAGCCTTTACTTCCCGGAGATGAAGGAAAGATATGATCAAATCAGAGACTCAGAATACTCCTTTGAGTGGATTCTTGGGTCAGGCAGATGCAACGATACATCGGTACCCAGGGTGTACTTTGTGGATTGGTTACATAGCCAGAAGGCAAACGATAACACATACTGGATAAGTGGGAAACCAGGCTCTGGGAAATCGACTCTAATGAAGTTCTTATACAATCACGATCAGACACGAGCAATTCTCAAAGAGTGGGCTGGCCAGCAAAAGCTTGTCATCAGTGGGTTTTACTTCTGGATATCTGGCGGATCACGGCTACTGAAGTCCCAGCTAGGCCTTCTCCGATCACTCGTTTTCGAAGTGTTCTGGCATATGCCAGAGGTTATCGAGTACGCGTGTCCGGAAAGATACGCTAAGGGTCTCAAGCCGATGCAATATGGCTCGCTAGCATGGACACTCAATGAGCTACTAGAAGCTCTAAAAAGAGCCACAACAAATGCTCAGAGTAACACCCGCTTCTGCTTCTTCATTGATGGACTGGATGAGTGTGACGGTTATCCTCAGGCCATGGTTGACCTAATCCGAGACCGCTTTCCAAAGTCGCCGGACATAAAATTCTGCCTTGCCAGTCGAAAGTGGAATGCTTTCATCGACGAGTATGGTGACGTACTAGGAGAAAGGGAGATCCCCAGACATCTCTATCTAGAAGATTTGACACAAACAGATATCCGAAGATACGTTCAACGGCGACTCCAAGCCCAGCGGCGCTTCCAGCAATGGCATAGGGGGGACCCTGTTTCGAGCAAAAGGCTCATTGAAGACGTCGTTAAAAAGGCGGAAGGAGTGTTTCTTTGGGTCACTCTTGTGGTCGAGTCTCTTATAAGAGGAGTCCAGAACAAAGATCATCTGGCCACACTGCAAGACAGACTGGATAAAATCCCCAGTGAACTGCCGGATTACTTCGCCCACATGCTGCGTAACGTTGAGGACATATATAAGGTGGACGCAGCTAAGATATATCAAATCATGCTAAACACGACAGAGCAACCATATCTTCTCCTATTTTCGTACCTGTGGGAGCGTGATCCACAATTCGGGACTGTCATGGAAACCAAGCCATTCTCATTACGCGACATAAACGGGATGAATGATGATTTACGTGTTCGACTTAATGCACGCTGTACCGACTTGCTTGACATTGTCAAAGACTCCAGGGTCCACATCATGTGGGAATCCAAAGTGGCTTTCTTGCATCGGACAGTGCGTGATTACATGAGAAGTGCGGAAGCACAGGAAATTCTGGGAAAGTGGCTCAGCCAATCCAAGGCTCATACAAGCTTCAACCCAGATGCGTATATCTGCCAATCGGCTGTAGCGCATATCAAACGCGCCCCACGGAAACCGCAGTATCTCTCTGAACAGGGACGTGTCAGTCAGCTCGTGAATCAGTTCGCTTACGCCGCCAGGAGAATTCAAAAATCATTGGGAGACCCTCAGATCGAACTTATGAACTCATTAGAAACAACACTAAACGACTATCGTCAGTCACAGCGTCTCCATGCAACTACTTACCACACATCCTTCTGGTATAGCAAAGCGAGCTTCCTTCAATGGGCGGAGAAAGAACAATTAGACCTATATGTCTCGTATAGACTTAGCAAGGATCCGGCCGGAGAAGAGGATCTAAATGAACCAAGATTACTAAGACGAAGGCAGACCTTTGACGAGCCTGAACCAAAGAACAACCGAACAAAGTCTCAGCGGAGAATGTAATGTCGAATGAATGACACGGGGGGTTAGGAAGCCAAATGGAAGGAAAACCTGTTGTGGAATGTATTGGTTGGCTTTAAGAGAGCAGTACAGTGTACCAAGTACATAGAATAATGAATCGTTGGATCGTATCTGGAGGAAAACAGGAGTTCGGTGATATAGAAAGCAAGCCAGCACAGAACGGCTCCAAGGCCTTAGCCTACTGTGAGAGCCTGGAACATGATATTCCACACTCGAGTTTCACTCGAACAATATTGGAGTCAATCTCATCGCTGGCTTATGGCATTGTATCCACGAGGATTCTACGAATGGCATGGCGCCTATGCTTTGGCTATGCTACCCCCTACATGGAGTTTCTACAGCCATATCTGATATAGCACAAGACATCAATAAAATTCCCAAATAATCACACATTGCAGAAACACATGAACAGTTCTATACATATTGCCATCCAGCATCCTTCAAACAAACCAACTACCTTATCTCACTTTCAACACCATCCTCAGCATCAAGCCAAGATCTCCTTCCCATTCTCCTTCAAGAACGCATCCACGGAAGTAAGTCCCTCCGCCAAAGCCCCCAAGTCCTCGCGACAGTTACTCACACCATCCCCACCGGGCACCTCATCGGCCCATCTTGACGAAGCAGCACCAAGATGCCCCTCCTTGATCATCCCATCCACGACCTCATCGTCCAAAAACTCCACCTTTACCTCTTCACCCACCACCTTCCCAATCTTCCCCGCCAACTGCTCCACCGTGACCACCTCCACCGCGACATCAATAGCCTTGTTCGCAAACCGCTCGGGCTCCTTAACCGCAGCCGCAACCACAATCCCCACATCCCGCGCATCCACCAACGGCAGCTCCGTCCCGGCCCGATACGCCACGCGCAAGACCCGCTCTTCCTTGAAGCCAGGGAACATGAAGTCCCGCACCGACGGCAGGAGATTCTGAAGGAAGTGGCCCGGTCGGATAATCGTCCAGCGGCCCCCATTCTTCGCTGCCGCAGCCTCACGGACACGGTTCTCCAGCGCATGCTTCTGGAGCCAGTACTCCTTCATTGGGTGCGCACCGCCCTCCCACCCGGGGAATGACTCATGCTGGCCTGTCTTGAGCGCTGTAGAGAGAATAATATGCGAGATCGTGGACGATTCCTGCGCAGCGAGGATCACGTTCTCCATGCGCTTGAGATCGAGCTCACGGTTGCCGGTTTGCACTTCGGTGAAGAACACGGCGTCCACGTTTTGTGTCGCCGTGCGGAGAGATTCCAGGTCGTCGAGGTCGCCTGTGATAAGGGTCGCGCCTTGTTCTGCGAGTTGGACTGCAGCGCTGCTGGCTGGGTTGCGCACGTAGGCGGAGACGGAGTGACCTGCCGATAGGCAGTGCTGGACGACGCCGCGGCCTTGGTTGCCGGTGGCGCTGAGGACGAGGATGCTTTTGGGAGACATTGTTTGTGTTTGGTTTGTGGAAGTGTTGGGCTGAGGTGTGAATTGTGATTGATAGGAGTGTGGTTGGCATTGAGGTGGGTGCAGAGGGAGAGATTTATAGTTGTCGTGCTGCCTAAGCTGTTGCTTAGTGCTTACTCCGTGTATAGTAATCCTTTCGATCTTACGGACGGGTGAGGATGTCATGTCTCACCGTAGTAAGTTGTTGTAGTGCGAGGCTGTATGGATCTGGGTCGGTAAGCTTATTTGTTTCAAGCTTGATCAGCTTATTTCGTATTTTCTGGATTACTACTGCGGTAAAATTAGCGGGTAAAGTTGGTAGTTAGCTGGTGTGCTCGAGCACCCTGAGTACCACAAGCACTAGCAAATTCTGGAGATCGACCTTCTGTCTCCAGCTTTGTACTCTAATTTCTGCATATTGCCCAGCTTCTGTTTTATGAAATATAATCGCACTTGAGAAGAATTAATGGCGTTGACCTTAAACGGACAAAAACATCAACAACACAAAATAGGCCATCGCGCTGCAGTACTAAGCAGACTGCGCCAACTGCTCCAGAGTCTGATACAGAGGCGTCCCCAGCCCAGTAACCGGATCCCATCCCTTTGTGGCATTCCAACTGGCATACGGGACAAGAGCTCCTCCATTTGACCCGTCACAACCCACTGATCCGCCGTCTACGATATCCGTGAATCCTTTCTGGTCGAGTGAGTACAGCCAAGGATTCAGAAACCCTAGCGTAGGTTTACCCTGCTCGAGACGTGCAGCGTTCAGTCGAGAGATGACTGCTGCAAATACAGGGGCGGCAGCACTGTAAAATTATCAGCTCGTTTGATTCTCACAATTGTTTACTTGGTAGGGCCACTAACCTTGTTCCAGCAGTTTGTAGCCATTGCCCATGGTCCCTGATTACATAGTTGCTAGCCTGGGCCGACACATCAGGAATACCCCGTCCGTCTGGATTATACAATCCTTCCCATTTATCTCCTAAGCGGGCAAGGTACGCTTCCACACTCGCATTCTGGTACGACGGTCGAGCAAAGCGCTCGGAGAACCCTCCACTCGAAAAGTCCACAGCCTTTTCCGGCCCGACGCCCTCAGTCCCACCCACGGATGTAACAAACGGGCACGACGCCGGAAAGATAGGCTGAAAGCGGGTCCTCTGGCTTCCGTCGTTAGATACACACGATCCTCCGACGCCCGAGTCTCCGCTGCTGAAGATCACCGAGACCCCGCGTGCACCTAATTGGGCAAATAAATTGCACGTGGCTTCTGTGTATTCCTCCGGCAGACTTTGCTCATCCTCGCCGTAAGACGTGCTAAGCACTGCAGGAAGCTCCTCGTCCGGAAGACCGACCAGATACTGGAGCTGTTCGAGATACGGCTCGTTGGTCGAGCCGTCGGTGCTCACCGTACCCGAGTCCGAGACGGATGGCGCACGTCCGGCGGTAGTGTAGAAGGTCGCGTTAGCGTCAAATGCCATGGAGAGGGCGTATTGGATGTCGAGACTGGCTTCTGTGCTTCCCTCTTGTGAGTTTTGTGGGTTTTGGCCTCCGTTGATTGAAACTACGGAGAAGTCGGCGTCTATGCTGTTTGGAGAGTATACATCTAGAAATTCCTCGAGGTCACTGTAGCGCGCGTACTGGTCCAGATAGCCGGAAATTCCGAGGACATTTCTCGAGTCGGGACTCGCCTTGGTGCTAGGTAAACCATAGAGCTGGCGAAGGCAAGTGGGCGTCACGCCTGTTAAGCAGTCTTCGCTTATTTCATCAATGTTAACCGACACTGGCATGAGGCTCGGTAGGCTGGTTTGTGTCTTAGGTCGGCCGAAGCGAGTCGTTGGCTGGATCATTTGCAGATGAGCATCGACTTGCTCGGGAACGGAGTACTTGAGGGTCCTAATTTGGGTTGTGTTTGTTTCCAGGTGATGGAAGTTGTAAAAATCGGTCTTCATCATTGATTGTGCTTGGGCCAACGGGACTGTGAAGGCGACCCAATCCCCGCGATCTTCGATGGCATTTGGTGGAACATGCTCCGACTCAAGCCAAGAGAAGATGATCTTTGAGACCTGGTCGGATGGGCGCATAAAGGCCATGACATCGTTGCGTTTCATATGCCGTCCATAATCCCGGTGACCGGGTGTCGAGATATCGATGACTTTCTGCTCGAATTCCGCCTTGTACTCGTGATGCATCGACAACCAGAACTTCATCGGAGTAAATGGCGGGGGAGCTGCGCCTTTTGTCCATCCATCGGGGATGCTGTTCAGTTGGTCTACCACGACATAATCAGGAGCTGTGGCTACAGCAGTGCGTAAGAGGGACAGAAGTCCCAAGATATAGTTGACATATATCATCGTCGCTTGAATGTCGCATTAGTTTCGAGTTCTGGTACCTGCGCAGTTCCAAACAGAGGTGTCTTAGACCTTTGCCCGCCTGCGGATCAAATCGCCGCAGAAACCGTCCTGCGCTCCTAAAAAGTGTCGCGCCGCGGTCAACTGTATCTATGTCTCTCGATGCAAACCAAAGAGACCGACAGTTGTTGTCGAAAAAGGCCCTCTTCTCGGCCGCGATACTTTTTCAAAATGTCGGTTATGCCAATAAGGCGGGGCCCTGTTGATAGTTTCATCAATCCGGTTGGAGAGACGCGGTAAAGTTATCGTGCAATCCAGAGGACATGGAGAATGTGACAGCGTGTTCACCAACACACAGAGCATGTAACTCCGCAGATCCACGGACACTAGACGCCAAGGTTGTTGAGAAGAGGTTCATGAATTGCCCGCCTATGGCCATGAATTAGCATTCTACGATATGCGTATTGAGTGTCTTTTAAGCGAAACCAAAGTATGATAGTGGTCCGAAGCTTCGATGTCCTTGGCGGCTGCGAGAGTCGCTTAGAAAGGCGGTCCGGTCGGGATCGAGTCTATTCAGAGCTCAATACGCGGTTATTTATTGACTCCCTCATCTAGCAAGGGGCGTCTGGAATGCGCCAGTCAGGGCATGCGGGAGGCTGCAGTTAGCTTTCCATGGAAGATAATTCTATGGTTCTCTGTCTAGAGTCATGGGGTAGATGAATGAAAAAATATAGGTAGTGCAATTGATGGAAACCTTCAGTGTGAATACTCTGCGCTTGCTGGGAGTACGTCATAACATTTAATCACGTATTAATGAGCTCGCAGTGCTTGCTTGGTCCAAAGGACAAAGAATTGGGGACTGACACCTTTCAACAAGCAGTTGCTCATAGCAGTTGCTCTGGTCCGCCACCTCCTTGTGATAAAGCCGTTGCTCGGACTAGTCCTGTTGCATTCCCATTATGCTGCCTAATTGACTCTGACAATTTGTTTATTAGAATAGGACTGCTGTGTTATGCGGACAAACATCCAGCATTATGGTTCCCAGTCATCGACTAATACTTTCACGAGGCTTATGCTGAAGCTGTTCGATGGTATCTTATTGGCACTGTTTAATTAGGTTCTCTAACGTGGGGAAGAAAATGGAATTCTCTCAGTATACTAAATTAAATAAGTAATAGGACAAAAATAAGAATACTATTTAATTTACGTTATATGTATTTCTGACCAGTTTGACTGCAGATGGTTAGTTTACCCCCGGCCAGGACACTCATAACCGATGTTGTAAAGAGTGTTGATCTTGAAAACCTCCCCATGGCATATGGAGCTTAGTTTAGCTCGTGGGAGGATCAGCACGAAGATAAGTATCTACCAGGCACAAGGATTCAGCTCCGTCACTAAATTGCGAAATGGGCTGTATCAGAAGGCGGAAGATGTATATTTTAGTTTCGCGTTGACCAGCCTTCCACATCGAAGAGCACCAGTAACGGACTCTTAGATAGCAACTTCTTCAGCCTCGTTCTGAGGCTCCGAATAATCCATGCTATCATGTCGGTGATCTGACCTATGATGTATCATCTTGAGAGTGATCGGAATATTGTCCGGAAGATCCCCGGGAAACCAGCATCTGGATAGTTTTAGCCTTGGACCAGCAGGGAAGGTCACTAACCGTTGTCGGGAACTTAACCAGGGGCAGAAGGCAAACTATTAGTTCGTCCCAACACTCGAACTCGTGTGAATGTGAATTACGTCGTCCTTTTTGGATGCTGGCACCGAAGGGGGTCATGTGCTAAGCTAGCAATTTCTGTACTTCGAGTGACTAACTAATACAACAATTGTTTGATTCATCGCCGAAAGAGGTTGGCCCATCCAGGCTGCTTAGGTCCGGGGATAAAGGGCAAGACATATATACACCGTAATAGTTTTCATTGCCCACCATGTGCTAGTTTTCTACTGTTCGACCAGGCCCTCAAACAGCCGGAGTCAAAGTCATGTTGGAGACGAAGGATGTCGCCGTGCAGAAAGGAAACGCATCTCCACGGCAGGAAAGGGGCAAAGGAATGAGAAGAGCTAAATGGAACGAAGTTGAAGGCAAAAGAATCTACTAAAAGAAGAGACGTTGGTGTGGTACCTCAGGCAAAAGCCCCACCCAAAATCCGGATATGAACTATCAGCTGGAAGAGACGGTTGGCTGGCATAGTTCTGGGCAGGGGGCGCTTGGGGCTGATTATACATATTATGTATTTCATATCTACTGTTCTACTTAGCATAATTTTGACCTTCTTGCATCAAGCAGCCAGTCGTACTCGGTTCCAGGTTGGGGAGCTGACCCTGCTTTTTCTTTGTTATTGTTGTGAATAGAGGCTTGATCATGGAGACAGTAGAGCTTCGTTTATGGAATTTATTCCATATACAATCAGGCTGATTGATAGTCAACTTTTATATAAGCCCTCATTTCTTCAGATGTGAACAATAATAATCATCGTTCCTTTGAATCACAACACTCCATGATGCGGATTCGTGCCAGCCTGCTGAAGTTCTTCCAAGTTGTACGTAAAGTTTAATGAATCAGCCAGCAGGAGCCCACTCATCACACGTTCTCGCATGTCCGGCTCCATCCTGAAGAACCCATGCGGCCATAGCATTTGTGGTAGGTAAATGCCGACGAAAGTGGTCTCGGAAACATCCGATATGAACCACATAGTGAACGCGTATGGCACCGCAAAGGAGAAAGCCTTTGCAGAAAGGGCCTGGTACCATGCGCCATTTCCTGGATCGTAAGGGCCCACTGCGAGCGAATCCGGGGATCTCTATTGCGCGGTGGTCCGGGGAATCTAAATATTCGTGGAGCTTATGAGCTTGAGATACTCAGGGTGAGGAAGCCCTGTCGACAACTTGAGTGTGGCTTCATTGCTCAACGTTAGTCTCCGTGTTAGGACAGATTTTAAGTTTTTAGACCACCTTCCGAGCCGTGCAAAAGTAATCCAACTACTGATTGTGAGAGCACGAAGTAAAGGGAGACCGAAAGTAAAGGGGCACAATTGTCATATCTGTCTTTCCCTTTTTTCATTACTAAGCATAGGAACACCCCTTGCCCGACCCTTCAATGGTGCTTCTCAAATCCTGGGATCCGCCTAGACTACACGGCCAACGAGTGTAGTGGTCCAAGCATGAGTGTCACTAGCACTCACTAGAAGACACACTGCAGCGGAGATCAGGGCAAATAAGGTTAAAAAAACACACTTGACCAGTTGGACGAGAAAACCCCGCGGTTATCACACCACTACAACGTCTATCCTCCTGGTAGACATTCACTGATTGGTATAAAATTGGTGGTCTCTGCCCCCACGGAACCATACTCCTGTTCTCGTGAGTACTGGTTTCACAACCGATGACGGCTTGCACGCAGGCAGCTTGCAAGCAATGCCTTCCGCCTAGAACTTGCCAGATAGTTGCCCAGGTCGTGGTGGTTAATGGCGTCGGTGTGAGAGTCACGTGTATGTAGATATAGGCAGACGTTTTGAGACAAGAAATCCCTGGCTTGAAAAGGCCCGAACCACCTGAGATTACTAACAAAGAAGATACCCGAGTATCTTCTTCCATCCTTGACGTCTGACATTCATTCCATCAACGACCGGGATTCGGCCTTCATCGTGTGCTAGGGGCTTTGGGGCTTATCACAATAGGTATTCAAGTTACGATAATACTGGGGTCAACTTGCTCTGACAACGGCGGCATATTGACGTCTCGGTGATGACCTCTTTTCGACGAGATAACCGGTCATCGCAGTAACCATATGGAGCTGGTCTGGTTTTATGTGGTCATGGCCGGGTATTCGCCTTGCTGCTCCGGTCGGAAGTGTCACCGATGGCCTTCATCTCATCGGCATAAACCGATTGATGTGACTGTAATTGTCCCATTAGTACACAATCGATCTGCGGTTTCTTTGGTGGTTCGAGTGGATGCGACTTGCCCAGGCATCATTGTGTTCCAAACAATACGCTTCGACTCACGCTAGCTAGCGGGTTACCTCTCCGCAAAAGATCATCCATCATTTTCATCGCGCGTGTCTCGCCACTGAACCGGGTAGCCAACGGAAGTCTACAGTTTCATATCAGTGGTCATCCCATCGCGCGCAAAGGTTTATCTCTCCTGGTCGAAAGACAGCATATCCAAACGGGCGAATGATGGAGATTTTGACGATCCCATTCCATCTTGCCCGGGCATTGCCAAGGGTTGTGTGAGGATCACTCGTGTACGCAGAGGTAGACAGCGTCTTCAAATGGAAAGATCAAAGTATAGTCGACTCTAGATACAAGACGTAGCGCGAGGAAGCAAGAAAAAGGAGAGCTTCCTCGCGTCCAGGGGAAACCCAGGTTGCCAGTGAACATCCAATGACATATAGTTCCCGCCACGAACCAGAAAGAGACAATTTATTTGGAACAATGATGTGCCGGTGGTTTGCTCCGATCATTTGGAAGCTAACTATTCGCCCTTCGTTCCTGCTTCCACCTTGCCCCTTCTCAGCACATCATCCATCGCTTCCTCGAGTGCTTCGGTAATCCTCTCAACTTCTCCGATAGAACCCTAACTTCGACACGATTCGCGGTGAGAGCACGCGTACAGTCCCGGACGTACGTCAAGAGATACCTGGTTATGTTGAGGTATCGCGGTGACTGAGCCCTATGACAGGGATCGGGGACAGATAGATTCAAGGCAACTCGCCACTGTAAAGATTGAATTCTTAAGCTGAAAACACCGTTCAATCTGGCTATCACTCTCGGTTAAGAAAGTGTCTCTTGCTCACGTATGCCCACCACTTCTGTGGCAAATCTCTCACAGAGAGGAGAATCTTCTATCGGAGAAAAAGTAATTTTTCACTAACTGGAAGGTAGGTGCATTATCTTCCTGGTAACAGAAGAATATTCGGGCTTTATATGCGTGCCGTAACCGAACGAGGCCCGCAGGACCACCAAGACTCCATTTTAGAGAAGGCTGTCGCCAAA